GATAATCAAATGTCTTTTAGCAGTTTTTGCTTTTTTCTCATCAATTAAACAATTTAAAGACAGCACAACAACACACAGTATCCAGACTCTCTGTGTATTTTCCATTCCATATACTTTTAACTTTTCCTTTTCCTTAACTTAATACCAATACCTCATTTACTAACTGTTACCAATTTCAATTCACCCATTTTCAATCCATCCTCCAACCGAGGAATATCCCTCAGGCAAAAGCCTTAAGATTTACTCAATACACCCTCCAACTAAAGGCGATCTCTCAGGCTTCCGTTTCTTTCCCAACCTTGGTATCTGGTGAAGGCCTGGAGATTTAACCTGATACCCCTAACTTGGTACCCTTTTCCAATACACCCTCATATTCCTACTTTCTGGCCAGCCTTTGAGGGTTATCTCTCAGTTCCCCTTTACTTTCCTGACCTCAATGGATCAGGCAAAAGGCTGGAGATTAATTCAATACACTCTTCAACTGAGGGTGATCTCTCAGTTTCCCCTTACTTTCCTGACCTCAGTGGGTTAGTCAAAAGCTAGAGATTAATTCAGTACACCTTTTCCTTAGAAGGTGATCTCTCAGGCAAAAACCTGGAGATTTGACCTTTCAATTTAAATCTTTCCTTTTGGAGTCTCTGTTCTCCCAAGTCTTCTTTCTGGTCGATCTTTCCCAGTCTTTCCAAGTCTCTCTGGATCTCGGTAGAACCTCCAATTGCCGCGCCTGTGCAGCCTGGGACCCAGATTCTGCGGAGGGTGTTGGGATTGATGATACAGAGACCAGTCGGTGGTGAAAGAATGCTCACTTTATTCATACTCCAGCTGGTTATATACCCTGACACCAGAGGCAGGGGTGGAGGCTCAGGAAGAGACAGTTAATCATTGGAATGGTCAGGATATTCACATGGATGAGCGCTTCCAAAAACACCAGGAACTTATTGCTTCTGGAAACATGTTTTTCTTTGTGGTTATGGATACTAAATTGTTTTTAGTAAACATTTTTTTCTCTGCAGCCGCAGACACCGGATACAGCTGCCTGCTTCAAGGCTAATGGGGAAGTGGGCCTTCAGCCAAGGTCTCTTGTTCCCACATGGTCATAGAGGATGGCCTTCCCCAAATAGAGGAGGACTGGTCATTCGTCAATGGTGTATGAGTAGCTGTGTTCCCCTGCTGTTACCTCCTAACAAGCTATCAAGAATTATAGAGTTAGTTTTAGTTTTTCTTTGGTCAGACCCACATTTGTAGGCTAAAGTATTAAAGGAAGAACCATTCCCATGGTAACATAAGGTCTGAAGGCCATAGGAGCAAAAGTGAGACCAGACAGAGTGGGCACAGTACTCAATGACAATTTTAATACACAAATCTACTGTTAGTAGACTAATAAGTGAAGAATAGACATGCTTTAAGATTAATGTGATGTTAGCTGGGGACAGTGCTTTCCTATCTGCTGACAGAGAGAATCCAGGACAATCTTGTTCTCTATCTCTCTGAAAGTTATGGCTCAAAAACTTTAATAATTTTGTCCTTGGGCATCTGTGAATGTCTTAATAGAGGTCTTTTTGCCTGGAAACTAACACTGACCAGCTCTCTGTAAAAGAAGACAATTGCAAGGGCACAGACTTCTAAGTTTATATGAAGACTTGGTTGATAGTAAGGATATTAATGGTGATTTTTTTGTCACAAACAGGCATTTCTGGGGGGAGTCATCCAATATAACAATGTATAGTAGATTATTAATACACTACTAGATTTTGGAGTATGATTCCCATCATAGAAAGGGAATGCCATGACTTCATAGGGAATTTACAGCAAGGATAGTAACTACTCATAGAGCAAATACTCCCACAGCTCTGGATGTGTGCCTCCTCCATCAGAATGTGTGATACTGGTGAGTAAGCTTCATGGTTTGTCTGCTAAATTCTCATTGCACAATTCTGCAGTCCATAGCAATAATTAAAAGACATTTTAAGAAGTTCATAACTCAAAATTAAAATAAAACTCTAGAAATGGAATAAATAGCTAAAAGTTATAGGAACCCAGACTTGGTAACATGCCCTTTATAACATGCAGATTTCCAGTAAGACATATAAATAAATAAAGCTTGGAATCTTTTATATGCATTGTTCATGGCAGTATTAAAAACTGATAGCTGAGAGGCCAGCATTGGACTGATCCAGACTCCCTGAACATGGTTGCCAGTGAGGAGGCGTTGGCATTCTTTGGGGCCTTGGGCAATAGATCAGCATTTAGCCCTGTCAGACAGATGGACTTTGGGAGCCCATTCCATGTGGAGGAATGCTGTTTCTGTCTGGACACATGGAGGAGGCCTAGGCTCTGCCCAGGATCATATGACAGACTTTCGAGATAGCCTCTGGAGGGCCTCATCCTCCTTGGAGAGTGGAGTGGGGATTTGTGGAGGGGCCAGGGGAGGGCTGAAAGGGGCCAGGAAAGGAGGGGAGGGAGAAGGATCTGGGATTGGCTTGTGAAGCAAACTTGTTTCTAATCTAAATTAAAGAAAAATATTAAAAAAGTAAAAGAAGAAAAACACTTAGAGAACTGTTCTTATCTTTTGGTTCAAGCCTCTGGGGGGGAAAGAGATTTGGAAAAAGAATACTAGACAGGTAGTATCTAGAAGGAAATGCTGACAGAAATTAGCAGAAATGAAGAAGAAGAAGAAGAAGAAGAAGAGGAGGAGGAGGAGGAGGAGGAGGAAGAGAATGAAAGAGAATTATAATTGAAATTAGAACTGAGGCAGAGAATTAGAGTTAAGCAGTTATAGACAATTAGGACAAAAGAATTAAAATAGAGAAGAACAAATGTAGAACTATAAAAACACATGTATGAAAAGAAAGTTTGTGAGACAATTATTTTCTATAGCCCTCAGACTTTTCTTCTATGCTTATTTTAGCATCTCGTTTTGAACCCTGTAAGAAAGCTTTGTGGCCATTCCATAAATTTTCCAATAGATTATATTCATGCTTCAAATCTTCCCTGTTCTTTCCCACTCACTGTCCTCCCATATTGATGTATGAAGCAGAAACAAGCACACACTGATCCATACTCCAGGAATCCATTTGCATTGTGTAGAGGGAGGAGGGATGAGCAAAGAGCAAATTAGGGGGAGAAACCCATAGCAATAGTTTACCTGACCTAGTGAGAGCATAGAGACCCTCTGGTGAACCACCATTGGACTGAACCAAGCCCTTTGAATGTGGGGACCAGCCACAAGGCCAAAGCAGTCTATGAGACGTCTAACAGTGGAGCCAGTGTTTATCCCTAGAGCACAGATTAACTTTGGGAGCCCATTCCCTATGGAGGGATGCTACTGCAACCCAGATACAAGCAAGAGGGCCTAGGCCCTCCCCAAATGATATGAAGGACTTTGATGTTCTCTTGTAGAGGGCCTCACTATCTCTGGGGAGTGGGTGGGAAGTGGGTTGATAGGGAGTATGGAAGGATGGGAGGACAAGTGAATGGAGGGACTTGTATATAAACAAGAGTGATTCTAAAATAAAAATAAAGAAAATAGAAAAGGAACTGTTTGGGGATCAGAGGGGTCACTGTAAGATGGGCAATGGCAAAGGTAATTTTAAGGAATAAGAACAATGTACAATATGCATATGTAAAAATGCCACAATGGTAAACATTACACTACATATGAACTAAAACATTGTTAATAAATAGATGCATAATGTTATGCTTTAAAAGTGATACATCTACTTGATTTTGGCATGAAGTTGATAAGGAATAGAGGTGAGATGGCTAATGTTTATTGCCAATTTAATGAAATTTAGAATCACGTAAGGAAGGAATTTTGGAGTGTCTCTAAAGGCCATTATAGGAAGACTTGACCACAGTAGGAAAATGTACTCTGGGTATTGGTGGCTCTATTTTATGGTTTCACATCCTGGGAAGAAAAAGAAAAGCTGGACAGAGTATCACTAGAGAGATATAGTTTGTCATTTTATACTTTCTGAATGTAAGTAGACTATGACCATGTCTTTCATAACCTTGCAGCTAAGCATTCTCTGCCATGTTGGAGTATAACTTCAAACAAGGAGTTAAAGTCAATCGTCCCTTTCTCATGCTGTCTTTTTCCCAATTATTTTGCCACAGCTTTGAAAAAAAAGTTATTAATATTTATTAATAATAAAATCCCAAATTTTATGTTTTGTAGCATTTTTTACAACTATCATGAGTCTCCAACTCTATGCACTGTATAATTAAAAAAACATAATTAATTTAATTCTGGGGAAAATGTGAACCTATTCTTCATGATTTATCTCAGTGTATTTTCTTGGGAGTAAGTATTGTGTTCTGTAGAAAGCACCAATTATTATGAAACTAATTGTCTTAGTACATTCTTAATAAGGCTACCTGGAAAGATTCACCTTTGGGAATTCCAAGGGAGTATCCAAGTGACTTAAGAAGGTCTGTTAGAGAAGTTTTGGTTTATTTAGTTTCAAATTAACTCACATTACAGTTTACAAAAAGGTAAAATATTTTCGTTGATGCTTATATTTTCATTCTCAGCTAAGAAATGAGAACTGGCTAGCTAATAACTTAGAGTTTACTTACAACCAGAAGATGCAAAAATTTGTTCAGATTTCAGAGTTTCCAGTGAGGACTTCATGTTCTATTATCATAGCAAGTGATCTACTACAAAACTGAATATGAAAAAAGAGTTCCCTCTTCACATAGTCTTGCTGGAAAAGTCTCCTACAGATATCTTAAAAGTAACTCTTATCTAGGAATGTGAAGAATCTAAACTGCTATGAGGTACAAATTTCAAATTTCATAGGTAAATATTAATATACATTATATAAAACAATATTTAAAAATATAAGTATGGGTGAAATCCAAAAGGTTGTTAGATGCAATATAATTTAACAGTAATTTTTTTCACCTTTATTTCTTCTATTTGACTTCTATGTTTTCTAGCTTAAGGGCTCTAACAGCCTGGCACATGTCCTGAATTTTAGATGTCTACCACACCTAACATGCCAAATATCACTGCAATAAGTGGATTCATCCTTATGGGGTTCTCTGACATCCAGGACCTACAGACTGTATGTGGGGTATTCTTCCTAGTGATGTACATGACAGCCCTAATAAGTAACCTGATCATCATCACTCTCACCACATTTGACTTGCAGCTTCAAACACCTATGTACTTCTTTCTGAAGAATTTGTCCCTTTTGGATATCTTCTTCGTTTCTGTTCCTATCCCAAATTTCTTTGTCAGTAGTCTAACTCACAACAATTTCATTTCCATTCTTGCTTGTGGCCTACAGGTATTTCTAATGACTTCATTCTCATCAGGGGAAGTATTTGTCCTAACTGCTATGTCCTATGACCGCTATGTTGCCATCTGTTTTCCTCTCCACTATGATGCCATCATGAATGATGGTGTGTGTGTCCTGATGGTGGGTGTTTCTTGGGCTACCGGGGTACTGTTTGGAGCTATATATACAGCTGGCACATTTTCCATGCCTTTCTGTGGATCCAATGTGATCCCACAATTTTTTTGTGATATTCCCTCTTTGCTACACATATCTTGTTCTGAATCACTTGTGGTCGTTTATACAAGTCTTGCCATTGGTGTGTGTCTAGGCACATCTTGTTTCATCTGTGTTGTAGTCTCTTACTTTTATATTTTCTCCACTGTTTTGAAGTTTCCTACTACTAAAGGAAAGTCCAAAGCATTTGCTACATGCATCCCCCACCTCACTGTTTTCAGTGTCTTTATTGTTACTGCCTGCTTTGTCTATCTGAAGCCATTGTCAAACATACCATCAATTATTGACAGGCTTTTTTCTGTGCTATATACTCTTTTGCCTCCAACACTTAATCCTGTGATCTACAGCCTGAGAAACACTGATGTTAATAGTGCTTTGAGGAAGTTGCAACAAAATATCTGCTAGACAGGCCTACTCAGTTAATACTTCCAAACATTAGAGAATGGTGTGATAACCATTCTACATATGTTATAGGGCTGTTTTTATAATTTTTGTCTTTGGAAAGATGGGAGTGGATATGTGTAATCATTTAGTGATTTCTTCTGTTTCTTAGAAGACAAACAAAGATATGGAGATGATTAAATTCATCTGTACTTTGAAAATATATGAGCTACCTATTTAAATTTGCTCTTGGCTTATATGAAATTATTAGTTGTGAGGCAGAAAACCATTGTGACAGAAATACATTAAGTACAATGCACTGTAGATATCTACCCAAATCCATAATATACGATCAGAAGAGATGTACAGAGTATACCCTGACAGATACTTGAGTATTTATTATGTAGCTGCATGGCCTATGTCTACAATCCAGGTACTTTTCACATCTAACAATGTGAAGAAAAATACTTTCCATCTAATGCTACAGAGAGTCTTTGAAACAATTATAATTATAGGAGAAATCACTTTGACTGATTTCTCCTGGTTCATTCTCTGTTGTGAACAATATTGAAAACTATTCTTTACTGTGCATTATCTTCTGCAGACCCTTTTTCATCATACTGAGCATTTCATCTAAGAAAAAAATCTGTTTACTATGAATTTTCTTTGATTCTGTATGTATGTCTTCTATTGTTGTCCTATAATTGGTTTGACAAAACACTTCTCTCAGAATATCTTGCACCTTTGTCTAGTAAATAATGAGACAAATACATATTGCTATTAATAAACCAGAAAAGAAAAATGATCCAGCTGTCTGCTTGATCCAACTACCTTCTTGATTGTCCATGAGCAATGCGAAATTCTGTAAGACCTCCACCTGATGACAAAGACATCACCTTCTACAGATGGGACTTTTCCAATAAGCACACATTAGGAGACTATTGGGCTCTCTGTCCTGAATCATTATTTCAAGCATCATGTGTACATGTCTGCTTAATTCAACTTCAGTCCAATCTTAGCAGCTGAATATAACAAAGGAGGAGACAGAGAACCCTCACCCCTCTAGAGATACGTCTCAATCAACATTTGACAACACACTAAAATCACGCCTGTCATTGATCCTGCTATTTCTACATTTCTCATGGCATTCACTTCTTACACTTTTATTTACTGACTTCAGTGTTTCTGTATAGATTTATTTCATCATTGAAAGCAAAAGGGGATAAAGAACATGGTTCAAATTCTTTGGCTGCCCTATAATATACATCATTTAAAGTTATTTAGGACTTCAATAAATTATATCTGCTGCTTGAGGGCTGATGGTTCCACCTTTTGAGCATGTGTGATGTATCCTCGGCAAGTCAATTTCTTTCAACTGATTTAATATGTTTCTCTGACTTCGTCTGCTACTTAGTTGCTGCTGCTTTTATAGATTTCTACCGTGAAATCAAACTCAAACAGCACAAGCAAAGCATGAAATCATTGCTTGATTCCAAATTGCTTGATTCCAATTTGAGGGAAAGAAGAATAGACAGGGAGGTTATATATGAATATGGAATAAAATATGAAAGGACTAGGTGACTGAGAAAGACTGTAAGTCCCCTTCACTCTGGATTGCATGTAACAAATACATCATACATTTCAAAATATGTAGTATGTAAATAGTCTATGAAGAATGAAGTGTATGGTATTATTTAGAGCCATAAAAAGGCTACAAGTCTCCAGACATGGGTTCATTGAAATTTTTATTTTTTACTAGGTTTGGATCATTTCCAATCATCTATTTTTTAAAAAATTTTTCTTTATTTTTAGTTTAAATTTAGGTAAGAAACAAGGTTGCTTCACAAGTCAGTTCCAGGACCCTCTCCCTTTCCCTCCCCTCCTCCCGTGCCCTTTCCCCAACCCCCCCCATTATCCCCTCATTTCCCCAAGGAGGGTGAGGCCATCCATGGGGGTGTCCACAGTCTGGACCCTTCCCCAAGTTCAGGGAGAGTGCACCTCACATTGTTGAATGGGAGTCCAAAGTCCGTGTGTATACTCAGGACTGGTACTGATCTGCTGCCCAAGGCTCAATAGATTACCTAGGCCTCCTCACTGACACCCACATTCAGGGGGTCTTGATCAGTCCCATGCTGGATTCCCAGGCTGATGCCTGGGATTCAAGAGTTAACCTTTGTCAGGTCAGCTGTTTCTGGGGGTTAAACCAGCCCAGTCTTAATCCCTTTGATCATCAGTCCTCCCTCTCTGTTATTGGCTTTCTTGAGTTCAGCTCAGTACTTAACCAAGGGAGTCTGCCTCTTCTTAGATCAGCCACTGAATGAAGTTTCTGTTTCCCAGACTCTCTGGCCATGGGATTGTAGGCTGGCACTCCCAGATCTATGTCTAAAACTCATATATGAGAGAGTACATGCCATGTTTCTCTTTTTGTGACTGGGGTACCTCACTTAGGATGGTTTCTTCTAGTATCATCCATTTGCCTGCCAATCTCAGGATTCCATTGTTTTTTTCTGCTGAATAGTACTCCATTGTGTAAATGTACCACATTTTCTCTATCCACTCTTCGGTTGAGGGACATCTAGGTTGCTTCCAAGTTCTGGCTATTACAAAGAATGCTGCTATGAACATAGTGGAACAGGCATCTTTGTTGTATGAATGGGCATCTTTTGGATATATGCCTAAGAGTGGAGTTGCTGGGTCTTGTGGTAGGTTTATTCCCATTTTTTTGAGGAATCTCCATACTGATTTCCAAAGTGGCTGAACTAGTTGGCACTCCCACCAGCAATGGAGGAGTGTTCCCCTTTCACCACATACTCTCCAGCATAAATTGTCATTGGTGTTTTTGATTTTAGCCATTCTGACAGGAGTGAGATTGTATCTCAGAGTTGTTTTGATTTGCATTTCCCGGATGCCTAAGGATGTTGAGCACTTTCTCAAGTGCCTCTCAGCCATTTTAGACTCCTGTATTGAAAACTCTCTATTTAGTTCTGCAGCCCACTTTTTAATTGGGTCCTTTTATGTTTTGGAGACTTGCTTCTTGAGTTCTTTGTAAATTTTGGAGATCAACCCTCTGTCAGATGTGGGGTTAATGAATATCTTTTCCCATTCTGTGGGCTGCCTTTTTGTCTTGCTGACTGTGTCCTTTGCCTTACAGAAGCTTCTCAGTTTCAGGAGGTCCCATTTATTAATTATTGATCTCACTGTCTGTGCTAGTGGTGTTATGTTCAGGAAGCTGTCTCCTGTACCAATTTGTTCAAAGGTACAACCCACTTTCTCTTCCAAGAGGTTCAGTGTGACTGAATTTATGTTGAGGTCTTTGATCCATTTGGACTTAAGTTTTGTGCATGGCGATAAACATGGATCGATCCGCATTCTTCTACATGCCAGCCTCCAGTTGTGCCAGCACCATTTGTTGAAGATACTTTCTTTATTGCATTGTATATTTTTAGCTTCTTTGTCAAAGATCAGATGCTCATACATGTGTTGGTTAATATCCGGGTTTTCAATTCAATTCCATTGATCTACCTGTCTATTTTTGGGCCAATACCAAGCTGTTTTCAGGACTATAGCTCTATAATGGAGCTTGAGGTCAGGGATGGTGATGCCTCCAGACGTTGCCTTGTTGAACAGGGTTGTTTTGGCTATCCAGGGTCTTTTGTTTTTCCATACAAAATTGATTATTGTTCTTTCAAGGTCTGTGAAGAATTGTGCTGGGATTTTAATGGGGATTGCATTGAATCTGTAGATTACTTTTGGCAGGATTGCCATTTCTACGACATTGATCCTACCTATCCAAGGGCATGGGAGATCTTTCCATTTTCTGAGGGCTTCTTTAATTTCATTCTTTAAAGTTTCAAAGTTCTTGCTATACAGGTCTTTCACTTGTTTGGTTAGCGTTACCCCAAGATATTCTCTGTTGTTTGTGGCAATTGTAAAGGGTGATGTTTCTCTGATTTCTTTTTCAGCCCTTTTATCATCTGTATATGGTAGGGCTACTGATTTCCTTGAGTTGATCTTGTAGCCTGCCACTTTGCTGAAGGTGTTAATCAGCTGTAAGTGTTCCCTGATAGAGTTCTTTGGGTCATTGATGTAAACTATTCCTTCACAATTTGTATCCCCTTGATCCTCCTTTGTTGTCATATGGCAATGGCTAGAACTTTGAGTACCATGTTGAAAAGGTATGGAGAGGGTAGACAGCCTGGTTTTGTTCCTGATTTTAGAGGAATTGCAATGAGTTTCTGCCCATTTAGTTTGATGTTGGCTGTTGGTTTACTGTATATAGCTTTTATTATATTTAAGTATGTTACTGTTATCCCAGATCTCTCCAAGACCTTTATCATGAAAGTGTATTGGATTTTGTGAAAGGCTTTTTCAGCATTTAGTGAGATGATCATGTGATTTTTGTTTTTCAGCTTGTTTATATGGTGGATTACGTTGATGGATTTTTGTATGTTGAACTATCCCTGCATCCATGGGATGAAACCTACTTGATCGTGGTGAATGGTTGTTTTGATGTGTTCTTGGATCCTATTTGCCAGTATTTTTTTGTTTTTGTTTTTGTTTTTGGCTTTTTTTTTTTTGGTTTTTATGAGACAGGGTTTCTCTGTATTTTTTTGGAGGCTGTCGGTCCAGCCCGGCATGAACTCACACAGATCCGCCTGCCTCTGCTTCCCGAGTGCTGGGATTAAAGGCGTGCGCCACCACCGCCTGGCCTTTATCGAATATTTTTGCATCAATGTTCATGAGGGATAATGGTCTGAAGTTCTCTTTCTTAGTTGTGTCTTTGTGTGGCTTGGGGATCAAGGTTATTGGAGCCTCATAGAAATAGTTTGGCAAAGACCCTTCTGCTTCTATTTTGGGGAATACTTTGAGAAGAACTGGTATAAGCTGTTCTTTGAATTTCTGGTAGAATTCTGCACTGAGGCCATCTGGACCTGAACCTTTTTTTGGTTGGGAGACTTTTGATGACTGCATCTATTTCCATAGGGGTTATAGGTCTATTTAAATTGCTTATCTGTTCCTCATTT